CCCCCCCCCCCCCCGTTCATGCTTTGTCTCTCTCTGTCTCAAAAATAAATAAACGCTAAAAAAATTTTTTAAAAAAATAAAAAAAAATAAATAAATGCAAAATAAACCTTGTGTCCATTTAGGCTTTTCACCTTGAATTCTACTTTGTATGCCAGATTTATCCCCCTGTTTTCTTTTTTGGCTTGTATTTCATTCATTCCTTCTTTGGGAACCACTGCCCCTACTGTGTACCAGATACCCCTTCTAGGTGCGGAGGGCATAGTGGGGAACAAACTAGACCAAATCTTTGCCCTTCTGAATTTACGTTCTAGTGCAGGGAAAAACAGAGGAAAAAAAAAAAAAAGATCAGTATGAAAATACAGTCTAAGTGTGTTTGATCTTTTCTATTTAAAATGTCCTCCAGGGGCACCTGGGTGGCGCAGTCGGTTAAGCGTCCGACTTCAGCCAGGTCACGATCTCGTGCTCCGTGAGTTCGAGCCCCGCGTCGGGCTCTGGGCTGATGGCTCAGAGCCTGGAGCCTGTTTCCGATTCTGTGTCTCCCTCTCTCTCTGCCCCTCCCCTGTTCATACTCTGTCTCTCTCTGTCCCAAAAATAAATAAATGTTGAAAAAAAAACTTAAAAAAAAAAAAAAATGTCCTCCACATGCCCAGGCGGACGGGCAGCAGCAACATAAGGTGGGAACCTCTTAGAAACTTGGGGACCCGTCCTGAGCCCGCTGAATGTGCATTTGGGTTGCAGCAAGATGCCCAGGTGATTCGACATTCAGGTTTGAGAAGCACTGCGTAGACCCTACCGAGGGCTAGGGTTTTAGGGACATTAGGCAGCGAGGGGGTCAGGGAGGCCTCGCTGGAACGAGTCCTTTGCGGCAGAGGACGTGAGCTCTGCAGACATCGGCAGGCAGAAGCTGCAGGGAATGCGAGAGCCCGCCGGCACGGCGAGCTGCCAAAGGAGCATCCGGTCACAGCCCAGGCACCCTCGAGGTCTTTATCCTGGGCCCCTTGTTTTGGGTGTGTCCTCGGGCGCGAGTTCTGGCGCTGTAATTGGAGCGGGCTGCCCCCCCACCCCCCCATCAGCCTGGCCCCGGGATTCACGAAGCACCCAGCTCTGTGCTTCCTCGGGAGCACTCGCGAGTCAAGAGGGATCTGCCACTCCACCCAAAGCTCCCAGGGCTTTCCTTTGCGAATGCAGATTCTCCCCTGCCAGCAACCAGGCTTGTAGCAGAAGAAATCGCACCGCAACCCTTTGAACTTACTCCTTTCCCTTGGTTTCCTCACCCTCAACGTCCCTGCTTAAACTGCGCCTCTCACCCCAGCATCTCCCCCGTTTTCCCATGCCCTACCATCGAAACGCTTAGAAGAATAGACCAGGCAAGTGGATCTGAAACCGAGATCGGGGCTGATGGAGACAATCACCCGTGCTTCAACGTGTGCTCGGCTTTCCGAACAAGAGGACGGTGGAGCGCGGCCTGGATCTGGTCTGACCCGACCAGGCTCCGCCGCCCAGTCTGGGACCTTGGGCGAATTCCTTTACCTCTCCAAGCTTTAATTTCCTCCCCTGTGAAAGGAGATAATAACACCATCTTCCCCGGGTTGTTCCGCGGCCCAAGTGAGAGCATTCCTAGGAAAGCATTTTGTAAGTCATAAAGTGCTCAAACGCACGTGACCAACTACAGCCCCCCCGGTTACAGCTCCAGGACTCCTGTCGCGCCCCCACCCCGGTTACGGCTCCAGGACTCCTGTCGCGCCCCCACTCCGCCCCGCCTTCCGGTTTCTGCAGCGTCGGACTTGCCCTCGCGCACGGTTACTGCACACAGTGTCCTGGATTCCGCGTCTGGGGCCACAGGTTTCCCGGGGGAGGACGGGCCGGATGCGGAGGAGAGGACTGATTGGCTGCGGAGGAGGTGGGCCGAGCGGTGACGCGCGGCGCCGGGAGACTGCGCCGCGGGGTGCG